CGGTGGGGTGATGTGCGGCGCGACGCGCCCGCCCCGTGACGCACCGGGCCCCAGCCCCGGAGCGGCCCCCACGGGAGAAGGATGCTCCCCGCGACACCCCGTCCCGTCCCACCGATGCTCCCTGAGACCCCGTGTCCCGTCCCACGGATGCTCCGCGGTGCCTCTCGCAGGGGCAGCCCCGGTGCCCCGTGCCCAGCCTGGGCTGGCAGCCCGCAGGCGCCCGGCAGCTCCCAGCACGGCTGCCAGCGCTCGCCTCCCTCGGCTCCCCCGCCACCGAGCCCATTGACAACCCGGGCACGGATCTGGCGTGCCGGGCGGCCGAGGGTGCCAGTGCTCGGTGGGGCAGGATGACTCCCGGACACCCCAACGGCAACATACGTGGCCTCGGAAAGTCCCCGTGGTGCCCGAGACTCCACAGGCTGCAGGGCTGCACCCTGACCACCACCCTGGCTTGCCGACCCTCACGCCTATGGTACTGCGGGCATTGTGCCACCCGCACTGTGCCCTGGCATTGCTGGTGCAGGCGGCTGGGCACTGGGGACACCCACGCGGGGTGCGAATGCCCCAGCCCCGGTGCTCCCCACCACACAACCGCCTGGCTGGGACAGCAGAGCCCGGTGGGGGCACATCGCTGGCCCACGGGCAGGGCGCCCGCCTGGCACCGGCCCAGGGCCCAGCTGGCCGAGGGTGCTGGCGGGGGCGCCGCGCCGCAGGGACTGCCCCCGCTCAGCTGTCGCTGTCTGTGACGCTCCCCGTCACCGTCCCACTCGGCTCAGCCTCGCTGCCGGCACCCAGGTATGGAGCTGACCTGGGCACACTGGGACCCCAGGGTACCCATGTGGGGGGTGCGGATGGGGAGGGTGGGGGGCACCAAGCTGTAGGGAGCCCTGCAGGGACTGCGGATGGGGAGTCTCACCCCCGTTACGTGCTCGGTGCTTGCAGTGCCTGTGGTCCCCACACATGGACCTGTGCCACGTCCCCACTGCCCGAGAGAAGGGCTGGTACCTGGTGCTGATGGCCCCCAACGTCAAGGGTCCCAACTACGCCTGGCTGGACCCCTCCCGGCTCTACTGTCACCCGCAAGTACACAGCACCCGGGGCAGAGGGCGCCCATGGGGGTGCCTGGGTGGGCTGCGGCTCTGTGGGGCTGTCAGGGCACCCACCCGTGGCCACAGGTACCAGCACATGGGCTGCAGGTGCCCATGATGGGCTGCAGGCACCCAGCACCTCCGCTCTCTCCCCAGGGCCTGCAGGACTGTGTGGCTGACCTGCTGCAGCCCTTCCAGGGAGACCCCATCGACATGGTAGCTGGTATCGATGCCATGGGCTTCATCCTGGGTGAGGGGGGATGTGGGTGAGCCCAGGGCCCCCATCCCTTGGCCCTGTGGGGCCTGACAGTGCCGTGCCCACCCCCAGGTGCTGCTGTTGCCACCGTGCTACGGAAAGGCTTTCTGGCCATCCGCAAAGCCGGGCACCTCTGCGTGCAGACGGTGACGCAGCCCTACACCGACTACTCGGGCCGAGAGAAGGTGATGGAGGTCCGCACCGATGCCATCTCGCCAGGTGAGCTGGCAGGGTGTTCCCATCATGGCGGGGGGCAGCCAGCGCAGGCACCGGGCACTGGGCACCAGGCACTCAGCTGCAGCCTCTGCCCCCTCCCAGGTCTGCGCATCCTCCTTGTGGACCAGTGGGTGGAAACTGGAGGCACCATGCGAGCAGCCATCCAGCTGGTGGAGCGGCTGGGGGGGGTCGTGGCAGGTATGAGGGGGGGGTACTGGGGCACCCTGGGGTGCACCCGTGGGTGCAGCAGGAGCATTGTCCCCGCACCCCATGGTGGCCAGCACTGAGCCCCCCCCCACCATGTCCCACAGGTGTCACCGCCATCTGCATCGAGGACAGCGAGGGCGGGCGGTGGATCCGGGAGAGATACAAGTGTGCCCACTGCGTCCCCCCTGGCCTGCAGCCCCACTTCGACCGCCACCAGTTTGGCTGGGACTGATGGGGGGCTGGCACCTGCTGTGTCCCCCCATGTCCCCCTGTGGGTGCAGGGCTGCTGGCTCTTCGGGGCAGGGATGCCCGGGGCATCCACCACGTGGTCTCGCTGCCACCGTACCCGAGATGCTCACCCTCCTCGGCAGCAGCCATCCTCCCCTGGCTCCATCCTCCCACCAGCCTGTGAACCTGGGGAGCTGCACCTGGGAGCTGGAGAACCCACAGCCAGCCCCGGCCCCCATCCCCGCACCTTTCTTAAAAAGCATAAAAAAGGTTTTATTAAGACAAATAGGAGCTCGGGGGAGTCTCCCCCTGCAAGTGGTACCTGGGTTTGCATAGCTAAAGGAGCTGCACTGTGCTCCTGCCTGCCCCGGCCGCGGGTGCCCAGGCAGGCAGGGGGCCAGGGGGGCCAGGGCAGCTCCCTGGGGCCGGCCGGGGCAGCCCCTCTTTGGTCCAGAGGCGTGAGCGCAGGGGGGGCCAGGGGCTGCCCCCTCACTGGCAGCACTTGGGTTTCTTGCGGGGTGCCGACAGGTACAGGTCGCTGGGGTGAAGGGGGCACCCCTGCAGGGCCAGCGGGGGGTACTCACGCACGGTGTCACCGATCTTGCGGGCGCTGCTGCGCTCCAGCTCGGCCAGCACGCTGCTCTCGAAGGTCAGTGCCGCCACACGGAAAAAGAAATCCCGCACGTTCTCCCCTGCCCCGTGGGACAAGACCCCCTGAGTGTCCCCTTGCCTGGCCAAACCCTGGGGTCCGCATCCCCCCTGCCCGGCCAGGGACCCACCAGTGAGCGAGGAGACAGCCCAGTACTCTGCCTGCATCTCCTGGGCCACTTTCAGAGCATCCTTCTCCATCAGGCTGTACTGCGCCGGCGTCTGCCAACCGAGCCGGGGTGGTGGGTGGGTGGCGGGGATGACCCCCCCCCAAGCCGGGGCGCAGGGAACCCACAGGAGGGGGGACACACTCACGCTCAGATCCTTCTTGGAGCCCACCAAGAAGAGGATCACATTGGATGGGTCGTTCTCCTTCAGGGCGTCAGCCAGCCACTGCCTGTTGGGGCCACTGTCACCGGCTGGTGGCTCATGGCCAAGCGCTACCCTCTTGCTCGCACGCCGCAGCATTGCCAGCAGCCCCGTGCCCTCCTGCCCAGCTCCTGCTTCTCCATCCATCCCCATCACCCCCCACGCTCGTCCCCAGTCCCATCTGAGCCCCTTGGCTGCGTGTCACCTACCGCGTGTGGTCCAGCGACGCCACATCGTTGACATCGAAGACGATGACGATGGCTGGGGGGGAGAAGAAGGGGTGAGATGGGGAAGAGGACAGCCGGTGGGGTGGGACATGGTGGGGACCTCACCTTGCGCTCCCCGGTAGTAGGTGGAGGCGATGCACTTGAAGCGCTCCTGGCCAGCTGTGTCCCACCTGGGGGGGCGCGGGAGGTGAGGGGGGGCCGCAGGTGTGCGCGGGGGGGGGCTGGTGCCTACTCACAGCTGCAGGCTGAAGGGCACCCCCAGCACCTCAAACCGCTCCATCTCAAAATCCACCCCGATGGTCGCCTTGTAGTTCTTGTCAAAGGTGTCCTTGCAAAAGCTGGGGGGGAGATGGGTGTCAGCAGCCCCCGGCCCCCCATGCCCCACCCCTGGGGGCTCAGTGCCCCCTGCCCTGGGGGTGCTCCGCACCAGAGTCCGGCCGGAGCCAGGCTCAGCCCAAGGTGCTGCTGCCCTTTGTGGGGCGGCTCTTCCCCTGCCCCCACCCCACAGACCCTCTCCGGGGTGGTCCCGTTACCGGTTGATCAGGCAGGTCTTCCCCACCGAGAGGTCCCCCACCACGATGATCTTGGAGATCTTGAACCTGCAGGGCAAGGGGACGTGCAGCCGCTCAGCAGGGCGGGGGGCTCCCTGCCTGCCTCCCCCGCGCTGTCCCCACAGGCCGGGCGGGTTCATGGGGTGGGGGGGTGTCCCCCCGCAGCCCCCCGTGTCCAGCAGTGCCCCGCAGCCCGGCTCTCCCTCCCCACCGCC